TTATTTTAAAAATTGAGATTTTAAAATTTTTTTGTTTATGGTCAAAAGGGTGGGGGAGTGTAAGTGTGAACCCCCAGGGGGTTTGGGGGGGGGTTTTTCATGTAGTTAGGTTTAAGGGGTTTTTCAGGAGATAAGGTTTTTCAAAGGAAATTTTTTAAGGGGATGAATTGTCTGTAGTTCTAGAGTTCTCAGGTAGGGTGGGTTTCCCGATTTTTGGGGGCCCTTTTACATACATTGAATTTTTTTAAAAGGTTTTGTCGGACATGGGGAATGTCCCAAAAGGAATTTTTTGTGGGCTGGGTTATGCCCGTGGGGTTTGGCACAACTATCAAGAAAAACGTTTTTAAAGGTTTAAAAGGGGATATTGGAGTTTAAGGTCCTGTAAGGTAATTTCCACAGTATAAAATGTGGATTTTCTGAAAAGGGTAGTAAGTTTTGATCTATGAAGGGGTGGGGGGGTGTGTTTTCCCGGGAGGGATTTAGTGATTATTTTTTACTGCCGCTTTTTGTTGGGTTAAATTTTTGGCTTTAGGTGTGTTGCTGCAGTTGATCCCCAAGCACCAAATAATAGGTGAGGTATGGGTAAAAAAAGTTTAATGGTATAGTGGAAAGGGCAAATTTTTCCGGGACGTTTTGTATCGTATCTTGGAGAGGATCCCAACTGTTTTGGATACTTTTTTGGTTATGTGTTGGATATGGGTGCTGAAATTCAGGTTGTTTCAAGGTATAGGCCTAGGAATTTGCCCTCATTAGTCTGGTAATTAGAGTGTTGTCGATCTTAATGTTAATTTGTGCATCTCCTGCTCTGCTACAAACATAATATAGTAGGTTTTGTCAGTGTTAAGTGTAAGTTTATTGGCTGTCATCCAAGTTGATATTTTGATCAGCTCCTCGTTACAATGGTGTTGAGGGTGGCAAGATTAGGGTGAGAGATGACATAAGTCGTGTCGTCAGCAAAGGAGAATGGGTTTCAGGTGTTGGGATACGTTTGGAAGATCATTGATGTATATGAGGAAGAGCAGGGGACCAAGGACACTTCCTGCGGAACTCCAGTATCAAGTGGCCGTGTTGTTGATGCTGTGTCTTTAATGGTAACATACTGATACCTATTAGTAAGGTAAGATTTGAAATAAGCAAGCGCATGGCCTCTTATACCGTAATGGTCAAGTTTGTGGAGTAGGATGTCGTGGTCTACTGTGTCAAAAGCTTTTCTTAGGTCAATAAAAATTCCTAGTGGATATTCCTTATTTTCCAATGCTGTGTAAAGCAGAATCTAGCATTTTTATGATTGCATCATTAGTGCTTTTATTTTTCCTAAATCCAAATTGGCAGGGGTTGAGTATGTTTTGTGCTGTTATAAATGAATATAGTCTCCTGTGCACGAGTTTCTCAAAGATTTTGGATAGCAATGGTAAGTTTGATATTGGCCTATAGTTGTTTAAGTCTGTAGGGTCACACCTTTATGTATTGGTGTAACCCTTGCCATCTTGAGTAGTTTCGGGAAGGTGCTAGTTTCTAGTGTCTTGTTAAAAAGTAATGAAATAGCATGCGAAAGGATATGGGCCGCTCGCTTGTACAGTAATGGTGGGACATTAGACAGATTCCTTGAGTTGTTTTTTAGTGACTTATAATCTCGGTGACTTCCGAGGGCTCAGTTGGTGCAAGATAGAAGGAATTTGGGAAATTCCCATT